TCATATTCTGAGTTGCATTATTTTTATTCATTTTGAGGAATACTGAATCTGTGTTTTTTATTTTTTTTTTGTGAGTGAGATGAATTAAAGCATGTTCACATTTATTCTAGAACTAAAGTAACATCTTCTGATTTCTCTCAACATGAGACAGGAGAGCTGTCAATCAATAAATGGCGAAACAAAGTAACTGGCGTTACTTATTTGAAAAAGTAACCGATATTTTCTTGTTGTGCTCATTTTTGTCATTTTAAATCAGATTCAGTGTTATTTTAGTATAACTGATTTACTATTCTAGTTTTTTTGTTGATATTTTGAATTAGATTCAATATTTCTATATTTAATTTTGTTGTTTTTGTAATTCGTTTTTTATTATATTTATAATTTTTTATTTATTTTAGTTTATTTAGTTCTAGTTATTTTAGTATATCAAGATATATTAAATGAAAATGAGAAATGTCAGTTTTAGTTTCTTTAGTTTTAGTTATTTTAGTAGCTCAAGATTAGGCCTGTAAAGCAATTAATTTTTTTTATCTAATTAATTACATGATGTGCTGATTAATTGATCTAATTAATCTCTAATTAATCGCACATTAATTCTGGCTGAGAAATTACCCCACAGAAGCTTTAGAAAGCTTTATTAAACATTGCAGAAATAATGATAGTGAGTATTGATTTTAAAAAATAATATTGAAATATGAAATGGTTAAAACATGTTTTACTAAATTAAAAAAAATAAATAAATACTAAATAAAAACTAAATTAAATAAAGTAAATAAAAATAAAAAATACAAATATATAATTAAGTGAAAATGAGAAATGAATTAAAATACCTTTAATTTAAACAAAGTTTTTTTTGCAGTTAATTATTTAATTTCAAGTAACAAAAATGCTTTATGGTTTAGTTAATAAATAGTAACAACCCTGATCATATATAATAACTGGACTTCTTCATTTAGTACATGCAAACCCCGCCCCTTTCTCATAAACCCCACCCCCTTTCTTACATCTCAACATCCAATCAAAAATGAATGCACAGAACAAAGTCTCCACCCTGTTTATTTTTGATAGTCTGACGTACGACACAATACAGAAAAAAAGATTTAAAAGTTAATAAAAAACATTTATTATCATTAAATATCCCGTTTTACTCTGAAATGCATCATAAACAGGTTGCCAAGTTTCCATAATGTGCATTTCCTGATTAAAATACAAACCCTAACAAATGCAAATCAATAAACGTGTTATTTGCTCTCATTTAGGCCAGTTTCCGCTTGCAGTTTTAAAGCAGAACTGCAGCAATAGAGAGAGACAGAAACACAGAATAAAGCAAGCTGATTATTAAGAGGAATTATCAAGTAAATGTTCCTCACACACGAATGCAAATGTAAATTATGCTGATTCTGCAGCTCTCCAGAGGGAAACACATCCTGGACTAAAGGCAAGATTTGCCAAAATTTTGTAAGCAACAGCAAGTGTTTGATTAGACAGCTACTAGTGCAAGAACCACTTGATTTATGGTACCAGCAGCTTGTAAAACAGCACTTAACATGATGATCATGTTGAGCGGTCAGTCTGGCTGCTGGTAACGTACGCACCCACACACTCACACACTAACACACACACACACACACTCACACACTCA